TTGGTGAAGACGTGTCCCGTGTTTGGAATAACGCGGTGTGACGCGGCCCCGTTCTAGATAACACAAACGTGCTCACACGTATGCGCGCTGAAATACGACGCCCCCTGGACTCGCATCAAAATGTTTGCGCAGGTGCATCCGCGCTTGCGCAGGTATGCCCGCTCGACTCTCGAACCCCTGCGCCCTGCAACGCGTAACAAAGGATGCATTATGAAGATACGGTGATACTGGCTGGATGACCTGTTTGCCTGTTCATTTTAATCGAATTAGGGAACGGTTGCACATTACCTACCGCCCCCTCTAAATCGAATCTTTTCAATTTACTTTACACTCTGCATAGAGTGCACCCAATCACACGACTATTTCTCAAATTTATTACTATTGAAAATTGCTGGTGGAATAAAAATAAAATAGACGGTTCAAATGTTTTTTAACAACTTTTCTTTCAATACTAAATCTGTAACTTAGTATTATTATATTTTGGATAATTTCATGTTTGTGAAATTACCGCGGAACAGATTAAATCTTCGTAATTAACGACGTACGTTCGCGCGAGAAGAAATCGTGGAAGATCTTTTAGCGATGATCTTTAGCGCGTGTCGGCGTTGAAGGTTCATCAAGATTCCTAACGTACTGCTTTTAAACAGTTAAACGTTACCCACGGTTTTTACTGATATAAACGTTGATACTTAAAATCTACCATTTTAATTGTAGCTCGAATAATAATTTGAACAAAATCTGCACAATCGTTTTCGATTTTACATATCGTAAGAATTTGGTATATTTTGGTATACGTACTTAATTGAAGGTTATGTGCTCTCAACTCACCAAAGTCGAAATAGTTGTTCGAGGCTCTGCTTCATTAATCGACAGATTTCTCAGTTAGGTTTCTTTTTTTCACGACTGAGTTAGTTAACTCGTAACACCTTTCATAGAATCACGAAGACATACTTAACGTGTACATACACTATCACTTTTGTACAAAAGGAAAAGAATTAATACATTACTCGTATAATAATAAAACGTGTTTTTTTATACTGATTACCACTAAAATCAGTTGTCAATTGTATCAGTCTACATGTTTCAACCAGAGTCAGTTGACTAACATGGAAGTTGTTAAAACAACATTCAAATACTTTAATTCCAATTATATTCAGAAAATTTTAATTGTGTGATCAACAATGTTACTTCGTCCCATAACCTATTAACGCGACAGGAACGAAACACGTTTAATCGAATGGAGGAAACCGAAATCACACAGAACTCATGCATGTATCATATTATTATGAACACTCAACTTATTAAAGTTACGTTAAGAAAAGTATCTGATTATTTCTCGCTACACATTCGACATTGAGCTGACTTTCGAGACGCACACGTATGCCTCAGGCCCAGTTACCTACTTTCATCGTTGGCGGCGCCAACGTCTTTTCCCGAAATATGGCGACAATCGTAAATGCTTATTTCATAATACCTTATCAGATATCACAACTCCCATAATGATATTTTGTCCATATTAGTGATTAAAAAATATAAACTAAAAGATTGGTCGACCATGCCCAGTGGTTTCCCCTAATTCATTCTATTTTTATTAGATTTTGTCATTTTATCATATCTTTTAACCTAACACGTTCACTCTAACTTCATCCATATATCCATACCGGATTTAAATTCATTTAATGAACATTCTTATAAATAATTTTATACGTTTAATAACCCTGCAAGTTCAGCCACTTATTATTTAACGTATGTAGAGCAAGTAATTGATAAAATAAATTTCATGCAGTTGAACGAAGTTATTCGAGTTTGTCAGATGTTTGTACGAGCTCTAATGTAAAATTTCTATTTGTATAATCATTTTCCAACGTTGTAACGGAAATCGATTGGGGAATAAATTGCGCTCGACGTTGTTGAAAAACGAATTACAAAGGAAATTAATTTAAGCTAATTCGTGATTAATTTCCAATCATGTTTGATCGCTCGGTAGGCTCGCAGTCACTCACGTAGAGCCGTGTGGTAATTACTTCTTGATTAAAACCTCTGGCCACGTTTTCGACCGTCTTCGTGGCTCGCACGATCTACGTGGCGGAAATGTCGTCGTTAATTCGTGATTAATCGAAGTGACGAAACTGCGAACCAATTATCGAAGTCGTTTCATTATTAACGAACGATTTTATTCCTTTCTTCGATCGAAATAAATATGTGGCAGTCGAATTTTTATTTTCATTTTTATATTCCTCGCGTATATATTCCCCGATTTTTATGTTCGCGCAAAACTCAAGACCTATTGAACCGATCTTCCTCAAATTTTGACACGTTGTTCCTGCATACTCTAGGACGGACATAGGCTATGTAGCGTGTCTCAGAAGCGCGTTATTAACATGTAATTTATAAGCAAATATTTCATGTGTACGACTGTTTGGCAGACCACGTGACCCCTGTATACGACAGTCTACTTGCGCGCGCATGCGCATGTTCGGCCCGTGCGATACCTCGCCCGTAGCAGTACTGCGATGTTACCGCCAGGTGGCGAAGCTTCTCGAGCGCTTTCTCGCGAGAGAATTGCATTATCGCGGATATATATGTCAGGACGATCGTCTGGCCATAAATTGCTTTTGCACAAGGTCGGGCGAAGCTGAGAAGGGGGATGCTAGTATTTTATATTCACGTAATTAACAATGTATTACAATCTTGTTATTCTTGCCGTAAGAAGAATACATTCGCTATGTAAGTTTCATACAGCAGTTATTCGCGGGGGTAACTTTGTCCTTTTATCACAATTACAAACATCGTTAAACATAATAGCCACTTATATCACTGGATACGCGTTTACATTTATAATATACCTACATTATTGTTGGAATGAAAATCACCGCATTCGCTACCCTAGTTGCATGTTCAGTAGTTGGTACCCCTGCCTGGAATGTTCTATCCTTCTTCTGGAATGTTCTAGCGCGAACCGTCGTGTAAAATGGACAATGGAAAAGTTCTTGGTTAAAGAATTCAAATTACGGTGGACTATGTTACATTTAAAATTATAAGTTTAGTGTTCGGTATTAATAAAGTGCAGTGTATAACACCAGCTATAAAAACATATAACGTGAGATGTGAATTTTTCAATATACCATAACGATAGTGCGTGCATTAATTTATAAAATCACCAAGGCGCCTTACTTCCTTGCACGGTCGTCAAAGCCGTGAGATGACATCATTGTTTGCCACGAAAAATGGTTGGCGAGGAAACTGTTGTCATATCGTCGAGGCACTTTAATTGAACTTAGTTGAAAGCGAGTAACATACGACGCGGTTTCCTCGTAAGCCATTGTGACTTGCACTTCGTCTTAAATGGTCGTTATAATCTCTTGTAAGAACGTTTTGCTTCCCGAAATAGCAGTCCGTGACGTAGGATCCTCTAGGAATTTATGGATGCAATTCATTGAAGAAATAAGACCAGTTGGCACGCCAAATGTGTCGAAAAATTAACAAAGACGAATACAAGTCGTAATACTTTACATCGATTTAATTCTATTTTAAGGGTGGATCATAATTGAACAAAATAATACTTTTAACGAGTATAATATAATTAAACATAATAACCGATAATATTTCCTTTATTAGAAACTGTGTAGCAGAGGTTATAGGATTAGACGATAAAACGACGCACATACTTTTTAGGTTATGTTTGATATTGAAGAAATAAGACCAGTTGGCACGCCAAATGTGTCGAAAAATTAACAAAGACGAATACAAGTCATAATACTTTACATCGATTTAATTCTATTTTAAGGGTTGATCATAATTGAACAAAATAATACTTTTAACGAGTATAATATAATTAAACATAATAACCGATAATATTTCCTTTATTCGAAACTGTAGCAGAGGTTATAGGATCAGACAATAAAACGACGCACATACTTTTTAGGTTATGTTTAATACGTAAGGCATGAATCGTTGTATACATGATACTGAACGCTATTCAACTGCTACACAGAGATGCCAGAAAGCATCCACGGTGCAATACTCACACTATGCCAGATCACGCGTACGTGAGCTCGTGGAGTTTCGGAAAGTCGACAAAAGCAAACTGACGCATGCCCTCTTTCTCGATTCTCCGAAGCTGCCCGAAGTAACTTCGGACCGCTTCGTGGAAGTCGAGAGAGAAAGGCTCACACGTGCTTCATTTTTTCAGGTACAAACATAGCGTTTTATTTTAGAACAGTAACTTGAGTTAGCAGGTAATGTCAGAAAACTGTTTTACCCAGTTACACCCCTTTTTACCCCAAGTATAAGGTAAAAAGTACGACGTATAAGGTACGACTACATGTACTTTTCAATTTTTCCTACAGTTCCCCGCTGGCCTCTGCTGACCGCTGTTGACCACTGCTGACCTTTATTGACAACTTCTGCCATGATGTATATGTATTAAAACTTTGTATATTGTAAATCTATGGCAATAAATGAAATAATTTCAAAGAATTCTATGTATTCTCATCATTTTTACCTTTCTTTTCCTCTCCAAATCATTGCCTTAGTTTTAAGAGACCGTTTCTCCGGTTAAAATCGGATTCCCAAATTGTCCAGAATTTGTACCTTGTACTTCAGGTAAAACAGTTTTATGACATTACCTGCTGACTCAAGTTAGCCACCAGTAAAGGCATGTAGAGATCAGCAATGGTCAGCAGATGCCAACGGAGATTGGCAGAAGTCAGTGGTAATTGTTATACTTTGTCAGAAATATAAGTGAGGTTAGGAGAGGCCAACAGAGGCAGTAACCAGTAGTAATCGTTATACTTTCCATGTTTATATTCATAATTGCTTATAAAGGGTTAATGTAAAAACAGTAATGATTTTGTCGTTAGAAAAGAAATGCAAGTACACATATTTTCTGTTGTTTGCAAAAGTGGATTTCTCACTGAATTTAATATCGAAACACTTACGGAAGCTCGTCTATGTTAATATAAACGGTGACGCATTAATTGTTCAACTTTTTGTTGCAGCAAAAATGTGTGAAAGCGCGTGCGGTGTACGACAATATCGCAGAAGCACCCGACGAGTTGGCTTTTCGGAAGGGCGACGTTCTGACTGTGCTGGAACAAAACACTTCTGGTCTTGAGGGCTGGTGGCTGTGTGCCCTGCGAGGTAGACAGGTAATTACCTTCTTCAACGAAACTACTTAACGCACCTTTGCCCAAATTTTAATTACATCGCCTAGCTTAAAGCACTTTGGTCAGAAAACATTTGACCTCAAATAGACTTGTCTCGTTTAAGAGAGTATTCTAGTACACGGGAAAATAAGCAAGTTTTATATTGTGTTATTCTTATTTATTTTTGATTCGCTGTCCTTTTCTGAAAACTGAAAATTATCCATGTTTTTAACACTGCGAGACTTCGTTTATCCAAGATTTTCTGTAGTAAGCATAATGGCGGCGAAGCCATAAAGCCGATTCGCATAATTCCAGACGTTTCGCGACACATGTTGGCAGATGGCGCTTCGGGCGCCGATGAGGTCTGGATTCGCGTGCAATAGACCCATCGTAATAACTTCACAGCCAGTACATTCATGGTATTTGAAATCGTGGATTGTATAAATGAGATTACCTACGAGTCTTAACGTATTTTATTTTTAAAACACAATGCAGTGGTTACAAACGTATCAATCGCGTGCAAAGGCCCAAAATCGATTTTAACGCATCGTGGTGACTCGTGGTGAGCTAATTCTCGAACACGTGATTTTAGGTTGATAAAAACTTAAATCGTGAATCGGATTACGTATCGCTGAACTCTGTCCCAATCAAACAGTGATCACGGAGACGAGAAAAGTAGTGGCGTCGGTACTTATGTTCGTACGAGGCCGTTTCCACCCTCGCGATGAGTCCATGCTCGAAAAGTTTCGCCGTTTCAGAAACATCGTGTACCGGTGGAAAGCTCACCGGCCGCTGTATGATATCGAAACCTTCCCCACGGTCTGCCCGGAAAGTTTTCACGATTGCCCTGGTTGCGGTATCTCGATGATCCCAACGACCACTTACGTAAACGACTATGTTCATCGGGAGCCCATATGCCTCGGCTGCGTCGGTTCTATTAACGTTTATCAACCATGCTGGATGAGAAACACGTGAGCTGACGTCGTGGACCCGGTCGGTGCATCATTTATGCAGGTCGACGCGATGCGCTTGGCTCATCCGCGACGAAACGGAGAGACTCGACACGACTCCGTTGCTCTCTCCTTCTCGAGACCATGACACGGCATTATTATCGCGGAAATGGGACGCGCGGCTGCACCGTTACCAGCCTCCGCGATCCAAGATCTTCATCTGCGGCCACCAATACGCGCGGGAGAAGTGTGAACCGCCTGAATCGTTTCCGCGTTCGACATCTCGAAAGATTTCTGTCTCTGGGTCCCCACGACCAACCTCGTTACAGGGCTTATCTATGGTTCTCACGAGCTGTCCTCCGTCAAAGGATACCTCGCGACAGCCAGCTTTTGTTCGACACGGAGACATTGGTTAACGGAGGTCAGTTCTCCGCGAGAAAAATTCTCAGAGAACAACACCATCCAGCTGTGAAGTAGTTGACCTAGTAATGTTGATCAGTTCCATAAATAGTAAGATTTTTAAACGTTTAATGATATAATTTCTAAATTCATTATTATCAGAATAAAGAATGCAAATTTTAGATAGCTGTTTAAACAACACTTTTCTTTTAACCTCAAAAATCTGAAAAAATTCAGGGAGATAACCAATGACAATACGCATTTATAGTAATTATAGAAATCTAGTGTCTCGAAAGCTTCAATACGAAATCCGTATTTTTCTGTGTTCTTTTTGCGTTTTCAATTTTTCACACCTAGGATTTGGAATCGAAAAATCGGACAAAATTCTCAAACACGTATCTCAATAACCTCAATGGACCAGATTTTTTTCATAATTTTTGTACTCGATTAAATAGGGGAAATAGGCAGAAATTCGTTAATCCGAATTTTCTCAATAACTAGCCTTCCAAACAAGACAGAGGGTTAAAATTTGGCACAGAACGTTTTTTCTTGATGCTCTGTCGATGGATCCATCGTATGTCACATTTGACCCCCTTATTCGGCTATACCCTTTCGCCACGTGTTATATTAGCTAGCCAATCGTCGTCAGATCAAGAGTTTTTATAGTTCACAGTATCACCACTAGGGGCATGGAACTATATTGTACAATGAAAATGGAGGTGTAGATTGGCCAGTAGGCATGAATAGTATATTGTACAATGAAAATGGAGGTATAGATTGACCAGTAGCGTATTTTATTTTATATGCATTTTTAAAAACTTCCTAATTATCAGACGTTTATTTTGTAAGAGGCTGACTACTGGCACATTTATCATAGTACATTGGTGTTTCAGCACGATCGAAATTGCTTCGTTCGAGTCGCCTTAGCACAGATGGGGGGCACATCATTGACTTGGAATCGATTTGTCTCGCACGTCTGCGCGAAAATTAACGACGAATGCGCCCGCGCGACGTAAGGGGTGTGCTAACGGAACGATCGAACGCGTTGAGGCTGCACTCCTTTCTGCGTGCTCGCGAGTCAATAGAATTCGTAATGGAGGCCGGGTTTGTCCCGGCGCATTGTCGTTTTCGGCCTCCTATGCCACGGCAAATGAACAGTTTTGTACAGCTAGGTACACAGAACCACCGTCTGCTCTGTGTTTCGAAAATGAACGCGCGTTGTTCCTCGATCAGCCACGCGTGTGCGTGTGTTCCTCGTACCGGATACGAGGTCCCGCCTGTTCGCGGGTTACGCTTCGAACTCGCCAAGGTTGTCACCGATCATTCATGGAAATCGGCGCAGTGTCAAGGGGGTATTATACTCTAGAGTTTCAGTTTTTTGCTCTTATTAGAGATTGTTTTTTTTTTTTACAAAAAAGTATAAATTTTGTAATCTCGATATTTTATGTACTTATTTGTAGGATTTAAAAAAGAGAATTGTATTTGGAACAAATGCACAAATGATATAATTTTATAAACGAATTTGAAACACAAATTAAGATCACATTAATTCACAACAGAAATTAAAATCACGTCCGTCTTTCACAATCACTCGTTTCTCCCTCCCTGTTGTTCTTTTTTTAACAAAACACTTTCAACCCTTTTGCACAGAAAATTAACATTGAACAAAACTACAGCGTGGCACAAATATTCAATACAAATCTCCTCCATATTTATTTATGCTTTACGAACGTTCACAATTTTTTGCAAGCGAAAATAACCAAAAAAGAAGACATATATGAACAAAGTTCCATGATACCATTTATTTAAGTCTTGAATGATCTCAGAAGTAAAACGAAGCAGAGATTGGCCCAAGGTTAATGCGTGATTTCTTCCTCCTTATTACGCGCCGCTATTACTATTCATATTTCTTCTTCTGTTCAGGGCATCTGTCCAGGAAATCGATTGAAACTTCTGGTCGGCCAATATGATACGGGGGGTTGTTTGGTCGGCAGTAGGGCTGACCTAACCATTTCTGAAGACGGTATACAGAGGCATGGAAAACGGCGTAGCTGGCACGTTCAACCGAACAGGGTGAGTTATTTGTGAAACGATCCTATTATTAAATTCATGGGGGCGCGGAATGGTTCCGCGGAAAACATGTTTCGTCCACACTTTCTGCGAGCTTTACAGATCTGTGGCGCTGCTTCGCTGCGGGTAGGGAACTCGTGAGAATTCGTAGGAGGTGAGAAAAGGAAAGGAGGGGCGTTTCGTCCGGGCCTATCAGTGGGCTTTCCAGCAGGCCCTGCCTTAGACGACTGGGATATTGGGAAGTCGTTCGAGGAGTGTATATATAGCAACCGAGGGGTCGTGAGAGCGCTTGTGAGAGCGCTCGCCCTCTGGTGGCGAGCATGGGAGGCGACGCCACAATCGTAACTTCGAAAACGATTAATTTTCGGCTTGACAACACTAATGCTATTTTAAAGATGATACAAAGATTCTAGTGATCCTGATATTTTATTGAATAAAAGATGTTTTGCTAATTTTTATTATTGCTATTTCTTGTCAACGGATTACTGACCAAAAATTCTGGACAATTTTCATGTATTTAAAACAAGGAAATAAAAATCATAACTTCTGAAACGATCGATTTCCTTTAAAGAAGATACAAAGATTCTAGTGAATCCACAAAATTCAAGTGATCCTGATATTTTATTCAATAAAAGATGTTTTGCTAATTTTTATTATTGCTATTTCTTGTCAACGGATTACTGACCAAAAATTCTGGACAATTTCCATGTATTTAAAACAAGGAAATAATAATCACAAAACGATCAATTCTCGAGTTGACAACTCTAATGCTATTTTAAAGCATTAGAGTTATCGTAAGAGCGGTCGAGGGGTCGGTCGAGCGCTTGTGAGAGCGCTCGCCCTCTGGTGGCGAGCATGGGAGGCGACGCCACAGATCTTACACGAACTCTCGTGCAACCACGCTTCTTACACGAAAGTATCGACTTGTTTCAGAACTCTGAAACTCTCAGATACTCTGTGTACATTAGAACTAATAAACAGTCAAAAGTATATTTCTCCATTTCTGTAATAGATAAAAATAATTTGCTTATCATAGAAGACAGTCGATACAATTTTTAGTAATTAGTTAAATTACTTAGATACTCAAGTGACATATAAATTTTATATTAGAATTCTTGGAAATGTAATAAGACAAATTTAAGTACAAATACATAGTATTATTACACAATTTTCATAAGGTGTCTAAACATGCACATATTTTTTATATATGTATATAACACAGTTATTTGATTCGTGTATTTCTTATGCAAGTTATATAGACAATTATCCTAAGTTTAAATTTGGTGAAGAATGTTTTGGAGAAATGGAACCATTGTATTGTTTTTTAATAACTTCCACCACAGTTGGGAGGAATAAAAATATCTAAGTTTAAATTTGATGAAGAATGTTTTGGGGAAATGGAACTATTGTATTGTTTTTTAAATGTCTTTCACCACCAGTTGGGAGGAATAAAAATATCACATTTGGGGTTCATTTTAAGACTCTAACAATTTATAATAAATGATCCCATTTGCAATGGAGAAATGCTTCTAACAAGTGTCCAAAGGGGCAGTGGTGCATAAGCGATCGAGTAGATTGGAATATCGATAAAATGAGATTTTAGGGATCCGTCTAAATGTCTATGAAATTGCCGAATGCTCCTTTGAATGGTTCATCTAACTCGGGTCGTTTCGGTTGGAGGATATCGCGGTGTCGAGCCATTGTTCCCGGAGGACGTATTTTATTGGCAATACACGCAGCTGCCTTCTCGAATTAATTTATCCACGATTTGAAAAGACGTAGAAATTCATGAAGTCCGCCCCAAACCCCGCAGCATGTCTCATCGATCGACTTTATGCGCGATATGCGGTACAGAGTCACAATGGCGTCCTCGGTGGCAGCGGTTCCATTGTGTTTCCCATAAACCCTCGTTGCACCCTCGGTTATGTCGGCCCCTGGCCACGTAGAAACGGGATCTGTCAAAATCAGCTGACTACCAATTCGTTTGTCAGACTCCTCTTGGCTACTGCCGGGTGTCTGCCGTTGGCATCGTTTAGCATCTGTCAGCCACGACAATATAGCGAAACGAATAACCGCGAACTGATCGATTGGCCTTGTCCAAACTTCGTTCGAAACTCCGGTCCAACTCAAATCATATCTAGACAAGCAAAAACTGATATTCTTTGCATTTAAAATACACAGAATCTTGTGTATTTTAGTCCAGAAACAGTTGGCCGGTTGCTGACCTTATCCTGGTTATGTTGCTTACGAGTTTATAAATCATAGAAATTAATTTGTCACTAACTTTTGGGAACTTAAATGCTTGAGCACAAAATTACACTATTTCCAATTTTTAAATACCATTTGGAACCCCCTAATTCGTAGACATGTATCTAGTAGTCTTGAAAGACTATTCTAGGGTCTTAGACTTATCTACTCTGTTAGTCGATGTTTTACTGTACTCGATCGACGATTTCATCACAGTGTCGGATGACACGCATGAATCATAGTATTTTTCTCGTTGAGTCACATCGCTGAGTAAGGCCGTGCAAAGTCAGATTGTAAACACTAGGACGCGGTCTTACTCATCAACACTAGGACTCACAAGGAACCATCGCGAACGGTCCGGCTTCGATTTTGATGAAACTTTGTACACTTATAAAGCAGCCAAAAATAATCGACACGTATTTTTTTTTAGCTGCGGTAACTCAAGTTTAAGGGGTGAAACCACCCCTTGAAGTTTTGGCTCGAAACGGCTATCTCGAAAACGGAAAGACATACAAAAAAATTGTTAATGGGCGAGGTTGATGGTTTCTTATGTACAATAACATGGTGTTAAAAAATTTAAAAAAAACACAATTTGTTTATAACAAAAAAAAATTTATTAACTTAATTTTTCATTTTATTGAAATTTTCATAATGACAAAAAATGACGAGCATTTTATTCCAAATCCATTGGTATGCGATTTTTTAAAATTGCCTCCTACAGTTTTGCAGATTTTTATGATTTACATCTTGCGCGCACATCCATTATGGTAGTAGCCGTTCTAACTTTGATTTTAATGAAGCACTGTAGGCTTCCACTACTTCTAGAGGACAAAATCGGGAAAAATACAAGAATACCAATTTGTTGATGGAGGCTTCGTTAAGAAATTATTAACGTTTAAAGTTCCGCCCGTACTGAATTTTTTTCTCCGTAATGCCCAAGATTTCGGGGGAATGTGTAATGACCAAAAATGATTGTAATCGACCCCTGCAACCGAAAATAATTTTTTCAGAATGGTTTGAAATTTTTTAATTTTGTTGAAAAATTTCACACATTCTCGAATTTTTTTCTCAAAAGTGCGTAGGATTTCGGGGGTATATATATTGACCAAAAATGATTGAAATTGACTCCCGCAACTGAAAATAATTTTTTTAGAACGATTTGAAATTTTTTTTTTTCGCTGAAAAATTTAGGCACCTACGCCCTGTCGATTTTTCTTAAAAATTCGTTTTTCATTATTAATAATTTTGTTCGACGCCCTACAAAAAAGTTGGCCAATACTTTTTTGTAGGTACCTATGAGCTCTACTTCAGAAAAAAGTTTCATTGAAATATATTCACTATTGTAGGAATTATGGCTGTTTGAAGATTGGACCATTTTTATGGGGTTTTTCTCATTTTGCGGGGTCAAGGATCAACTTTTTGCATATTTTTGCGATTTCTACTGGATTAGGCCCAAAACTAAACCAGACCTAACCCAGACCTGACCCAAACCTAATCCAAACCTAATCCAAACCTAACCCAGACCTGACCCAAACCTAATCCAAACCTAATCCAGACCTAATCGTGACCTAACCCAGACCAAGGTGCCTAAATTTTTCGACGAAAAAAAAAATTTCAAATGGGAACTTCTGCCACACCCACCATACTCTCCAGATCTTGCCCCAAGCGATTACCATCTATTCCAGTCGATGCAACATTTTTTAAGTGGAAAAAGTTTCAACAATAGCGAGGATGTAAAATCAGCACTAAATAAGTATTTTAATTAAAAAAATCCCAGAAGTTTTTCGAAAATGGAATAAGAAAGTTGACTGATAAATGGGAAAAGGTCATCGAAACTGATGGTTGATATATCGACGATTGAAAATAAATGTAAGTATTAATTTTTTGTCACCGAAAGTCACCGTCAAAAAACGACATTACTTATAGGATGACCAAATATTTTGGGGTTTATTCGTCCTGTGGCGCGGATATAGTAAATTACATAGATGGGACAGTCTCAAGGAGGAACGCTCCCTCCCCCTATGGATAAAGGGCAAACTAACCCAACAGATTTATCGACAATTATTCGAATAACAATCCGATAGAAACGAAAAGAAACAAGTGGTGGGAGGGCTGAAAGAAACTTTGCTCCGTTGGCTGGGCAAAGGACGGGACGGGGACGGAGAAGAGGAGAGAGGAAGATCGATTCGCGAGTCTTCCTCAGGCATTTCCTCGAGGTATCTTCTTGTTCCTCTCTAAGGTTGCGGTTTTTGCGCGGACACGAGGGATCCGGACGAACACGTCGCACATGCGGGCATGTGCGTCGAGCGTCGACAGAAATACGACTGCCGTCGGCGTAGGGGTCAACGGGCGTTACGCGGAACGAACTTCCTCGAAATTGCCTCGTCACGACGGAATTGCACGGATTCAGGTACGCGCAGGTGCCACGGGTCGCGCCGCGAAATGGACCTAGCGGTATTTTTCTTACTTTTATTCTCCCCACGGGCATTTCTTGCCCCCACCTCTTCAAACCAAACCCGTTTAACCTCAATGCACATTAATCATTTTACAAAATTTTATAAGCAATTATATATTCTCTGTTGTAAGCGCCAACTTACGATATGCTCGAAAAATTAACTCGTGGTTGAATAATATATATATATATCTATACTATTATATAAAGAGAGAACCGATTTTTATGTTCGCGCAAAATTCAAGACCTATTGAACCGATCTTCCTCAAATTTTGACACGTTGTTCCTGCATACTCTAGGACGG